TAAATACCTCGATTGTTTGGGACAAAACAGTTTAAACCAAGAACAAATTTTTCACGAAAACAGTTTTATCACAAAAAATGAACTAAATACAATTTTCCAAAATACTAGTCACTTCAGTGTAAATGATATAAAAACTATAAACTTATTTAATCATAAATTTGATTTAGGTGCAGCTTTCCAAAAACAATCCAAAATTTTGTTCAGCTTAGCACTGAAAAACTTGCAAGTATTCCATCAAAATGTCACAAATAATTTAACTGAAAGTATAAGTAATGATCGAGTTGACTATTATGATCTACGTACTCAAATAACTGATTTGCTGTACCATGCTAAAATGTATGTAAAAGATTTAAATAATATGCAATCTATTTACAACATTGTTTATTGTCATAAAGCTTTATTTGAAGAATTGACAATATTTCGATTGAGTCTAAACATGTTCTCGAATCTACCAGGTTATATTCTTAGACATTCCTTTTCAAATCGAGGCAACAGATGCACTCAGGCTTCCTATCATTTATTCCATGGACATTTGGAATGGAGATGGCATCATTTAATTATAATGTTTGAATTAAATAAAGGACATTCAGAAATTAATGGCAGTATTGACAGCAATGATCATACCACGTTTGAAGAATATCTTTTATTATTCTTAGCTGATTTGGTGATAATTGCTATGGAAATATTTGATAAAACTCAATTCCATGATGTGGTAGATACAACACCTTTTTCATGTTTTTGTGTAAAAGAATGTTGGTTATTGTTGCAGATTTTAGTTGATGAATTGCATTCAAAAAGTCTTTTGAAAAGCTTTTGGTTTTACATAGATTTACTTTTAAATAAATTTGTTGGCATTGGTCCAGTAACACCAGAAATGAACAGTTATGCCAAATTAAATATTCAACATAGGTTTAAAACTGATGATAAGAATGGTTTCGGTATATGGTTGCTGATTCATATAGCTCAACTGCACGGATTCACTAAAAATGGACAATTTATTGGTTCTTCTTCAGACAGAATATGTTCCCATTATAAAATGTTAGAATTGTGTATGAAACAAGCAGTTACAGAAGACGTAGCAGAAAAATCATTGAGAACATATATTATTTTAGTGTCAGATATAACAATTAAATGGTGGGAACCAAAGAATGATATCTTGGCTTTACTATGGGAGTACTTCCAAAAAAAATTAAACAGTTCCTTCTTTATCCAAGGAGCATCAATACAAACACTAGCTGTTTGCAGTAATACCGCTTTAGGTTACCTAAATAAAATCAAACAGCGTTTGTCTTGCCCTCACATCGATACTCAAGAGTCTAGCTTCAACAACTACTTATATCTACTTGGTAAACATTTTATGCGATGTCGAGATAACAATGAGGTCTCATACTGGCAAAAGTTTAAAGGTCGTATATACCCAAAATTGTCTGCAAATAAATTATTCTCACTTACAGAAATGGGCTTGATAAACTTGACTTCTATGTTTTTGACTTTAGCACACAGCATTGATGTTAATGAAATTGGCAAAAAATTGGTTGATATATTATCTCAAGTATCACATGAGAAATTAGATACAGCTTGTAAAGTAGTGATTATAAAAACTCATATATCGCTTATAATGCTGAATATTGAAAACAATTTAGACATTGCTTATGTTGCAAAGCCTCTGCTCGAGCTAGTTAATGGATCGTTTACAGAATGTAATAATGATAATATCAATTTGGTGCTGTGTGTATTTATAGAAGGCATAGGAGATGTTTTTGATATATGCCAATCTTTTTATTTATCTGAATATCTTTTGATTGACGTATGGGTTTCCAAATTTTTGTCTGCGTGTAATCAAAGTAGTGCTTCTAAATTACTGGATATTTTTCTTAAAATGTTAGTAAAGTTGTATACTTGTTACAGACAAATATTTTTGATAGGGTCTTCAAACACAGATGATAATATAAAATTTAGGAAAATCCTGGACAAATTATTATCTCATGTACTACCTTTTGTAAAACAGAATGCAACAAATGCCAATGCTATTATACAAACAACTGATGCGGCTGTGTATTTTACATTGTTTTCTTTGTATGATGAAACATTGTATATGCAGTTTGATCAAAGTTTTATCACCTTGTTCAAATATTTTTCAGAAAATGACATATTAATATAAGGATAACACGCAGATACCTAGTAAAGTTATCAACACATCAGGATGCAATTGATCATCTTCGAGTACATTTTACAAATTATGAAAGTCATTTTGTGCAAGCATGGGTCAAATGTTGTTTTTTATGTTATGATGATTTCAAAAATCAGGAAATGAAGGACCTTTTTTCGATTGTTCATGATTTTGAAGACCTAAAATTGCTATACAGTTCATCTCAAGTATCTTTAGAGGATGCTGAGGATACTGTATGTGCTTTATTTGTAGCAGCTGGACACGGATACAGCACTACTTCTAAACTTCACATCAAAACACAAATGCGTGAATTGTTGCACAATTATCTAGGGTCTTTGGAAAGTCATATCATCCCATTGATTAAAAATCCAACGTCATTAGACTTAACATTACGAGTATATTCTGTTATAGCAGTTTTATTCCTGCACTGTTCAAAATTACTATATGTAAGATCAAAACCAACTTGTCTCCTGCATATATTATTATCTCAGTTGATACTGCCTGCTGGGTTGTTCATGGATAAAAAGCCTCATCAATACATAATAACAGCAATGCGTAAAACTTGGTTTTTATTTATTAAAGGATTATTTGCTTTGAATTACAAAACAGATTCTTATATAGAAAAGGCACTGAAGGACTTAATTGTGGTTATGTACCGTATTTTGGAATGCAAAATACAAATTTAGAGAAGTACTGCACAATACAACCAATTCACAAATTATATGTTCTGACGATTGTACAGATTTGCTGTTGGATTTTGTTTATGAAAAATTGTACACAAATTTCCTTATATTTCGTGGAAAACAAGTCAATCAACATTCAGCAATGCTTCTTGCAATATTTTGTGATATAATCACCAAAAACAATAAAAACATTAGAATACTCAGAACATTTGTAAAAAACTTGGGAACATCGATTTTAGAACATATAATGTTTTTAGAAGATTTATCACCAAGCAAAAAATTAGCCTGCAACATTACTGAATCCATTATTCAATCATCATATTTAGAAACAGATGAGGACCTTAAAAAATATTTTAGTAATTCCATTACCAATTTGACACAAAAGCATTTAGCATTTTGTTCAAATTATATATTTAGGCTGCTTAAAAAATTAATAGATATCATGCCTTCGGTTGTAGAATACACATTGCCCGATATAAAAAATCAAGTAGCTTGTGTTGAAGCCCGAAGAGGTGTTGGTCGTGATGAGGGATTAAGGAAATCTTTAGCAGAATTGGAACATCATATATTAAGAACTAGAAGAATTTTATATTAAAAAGTACTGTACATGACTGTTCAAATGAACTTATGTAAATAATGACTTGGGATTTATCCTTATTCATATTTGTTTAACTAACTTATTTAAAGAAAATCTGTGATATAATAGGATATAAGCAGTTAACAGGCTGTGATAAATTAACAGTATTTAACTGGAAATAATTAAATAGAAA